GTGAGTTAAAAAAAACACATTTAATTTGTTTATTTAAAAATTTTCATTTTTAAATTACTTATCTAAAGTTTCTCTATACCTTTGGTATGTACCTATGTGTTTCATTTCTTTTGAATTTATTTATGTTTAGGGTTATTTACTTTTCTTGTTATTCTCCAACAAAATGTAAATAATTTCACCAATTGGTTTTTAAATTTGAAAAAAAATTTCATTAAAATCTTTATTTTCTTTGGTAAAAGAAATTAATTTTTTCTTTGTTTATTTCCCTTATTGCTGTAAAAACTTCATCATATACTATAGCCATCTCTTTTACTCTTGTTCTCATCTCCTTAACAGTCTCTTAATAAAACAGTTTTCATTTGTTTGTTGTTGTTGTTGTTTTTCTTCATCTTCCCAGCATTTGTTTACTTTTTTTCTACTTGGTTTGTTTATTTTACCGTAATATGCAAGTGTCACTTTTGTTGTTTTTTCTTATAACCAAGCAGGGTTGCCAGTTTGTATGTTTTCAATCAATACAAAATTGTTACTTTTAACCCTGCTTTATGAATTAATCTTAAAATTTAACCTTTAACCCTTAAAAATTTTAATTTTTAACCTTAAAAAAACAGGTAGCTTTATATCATGACTCATCTTTTAAGAAACTGTTGCTTTTATTTGTCTAATAAGGGTGTTTTATTCAACAAATCTTTCAATTGTTTGTTTACTTTCAAGAAAATCTTAAATTTCTTTTAGTATACGAATTTTTTGAGATGACTCATGTTGGTTATTTATTTTGGCAAATGTTTCTTTATTTCACTGCAGTGTTAAGGGTTTTTTTTTTTGCAAAAAATCTGCTACAAAACAGACATATTTTGTATATACGCTTCCTGTTTGTGTAGACAGACAGGTTGTTTTCGAATTTAGGTAAAAATCTTTTTTATTCATTCATGCTGTTTGGCAATTGTTTGGCTATTATAAGAAAACTCTTTTTTAGGTCTTTGAATAAGGGGACTTAAAGATGTCTTAATGTCAATAATCTTTAAAACACCTTGCAGTTTGTATAAATTCAGCAGTTAAAGATCCTATTAGAAGATTAAGACTTTCCATTTACTCTTATATCTTAGAGATAGAATTGATCCTAAATTGAATAAGAATTCAAACAAAAATAATCTTAGAACTGAAGTATAATAGAAGTAGACATTATCTTGAACTTATGCACATTGGCGCAGAGTAGACATGGAAGTAGCCAAGGAGTATTACGGTTTGTGTTTTAAAAACGAACCACGCAATTGCTCCAGGGCGGCCTTAAATAGTTGATCCAAAACTAAACTAAAATTTAATAATTAATGAACTTAAAGTGTCATGGAATGTAAGTCTAGACTAAGCTATAACTACACTCCAGGTAGCTGACAACAACTACTCTTCTAAGCGGCCTTAATCGGCATTCTTAAGAAATCTAATCGAAGATTACCATCTTTCTCTATTGACATTTTCCTTTATTTCATGTTTTAATAACTAATTAATAAACCCTCATTTATAAGTAACTATAACACAAAATAAAACCAGTTTCTAAGAAACGATTTCTTTCTTCTAGTTCCCTTTAAAGAAAATAAAAAACGTGACTTAAAAATCTGGTATATAAATACATTTTTAATATAAATTGATTAACAAAATTTTTCTGAGATTTTCTTTACCTATTAAATTATTACAACAAATATTGGGGAGTTAAAAAAAAAAAAATCAATGATTTTTAAGAAATTATCTACAATTACCATCAACACTTTGTTAAAGAATTGAAATATTTCTAGTATTTTTTTCAGTATAGAGTTTGACAGCTCTTATAGTATGAGCGTGCAGTAACGCACTTGAGAGAAAGAAAAGTCATAACAATTTGTAACACTAAATACTTAAATAAATATCGTGTAAATTGTATTATAAAAAGTAATACTTTAATGTAATTGTTGGTTTTTTGCTGCTGCTGCTGCCCTGATGTTATGACTATTAACTAGAAAATGTAAATGTTCCTATATAAATGATAAAGGGAACATGTAATGAAATATTGGTGAGGGGAGAAAGTAGTTTACGAGAGGAAGATCGAAAACTAAAAAAGAATTGAAGCAGAGCTGAATTAGTATTGATCTAAATTTAAACAAGAATTGATTAAGGATTTGTTAGGATTGTTTCTCAACTGAAGTGCAATTCATAGAGAGTTCAAGTAGAAATGTTCGCGAGCTGAAATTGAATTGTTTCAGAAATGAAGTAGAATTTATCTAGAACTTAAGAAGATTCGTTCTAGAGCAGAAGTAGATTTGTTCAAGAATTGAAGAAGAATTATTTCAAAGTATAAGAATTAATGCAGAACTAATATAGAATCGTTCCAGAACTAAATTAGATTCGTTCTAGAATATAAGTAGGATTGTTCAAGAACTGAAGAAAAATTATTCCACAACTGAAGCAGAATTGATACAGTACTGAAATAGGATCGTTCCAGAACTAAATTAGAATTGTTCGAGAATTGAAATAGATTCGTTCCAGAATAGAAGTAGAATTTTTCAAGAACTGAAGTGGAATTGTTTCAAAACTGATCCAGAATTGATACAGAACTGAATAAAAAGTGTTCCAAAACTGAATTAGAATTGTTCGAGAACTGAAGTAGAATCGTTCTAGAATAGAAGTTAAAGAAGAAGATTATTCCACAACTGAATTAGAATTGTACAACAATGAAATTGAATTGTTTCACAATTGAAACTGAAATAGAATCGTTCCAGAACTGATTAGTTCTAGAACTGAAGTTGAATTGTTCTAGAAATGAAGTAGCATTTATTGCCTTTCTCCGTTTGACCCCCAACCAATAGTTAAAGTCAAAAAGTAAAGACTTGATAAATAAGTTGAGAAAACAGAGTAACCGCTTGAACGTGTTAAACTCACAACTCAATACATTTAACAAGTTAAACTTTTGATGGTTTACGTTGTATTGGCCATTTTAAACAAAATAAGTATATAAAACATTCATGGAGGGAATGAATATATTAAATACAGTGAATGGATGGATGGATCATCGTCAACCAAACTACAAAACAAAAAAATCTATAAAATACGTGACTTTTTTGTTTAAAACTTGTGAGTTTCAAAAAAACAAAGTTAATTTTAAAAAGAAATAAAAAGAAAAATTTGTACGCTAAAGTCTAAACTTTAGACTCTAAAGCAAAACCGTAGCTGTTATAAGCCACACAAAAAACACAATAAACGTAATGCAATAGTCTTTCTAAATCCTTTACTTTTCAAAATAACTCCTACATAGTGTTATCTCTGGGCTATTGTTTTCAATTTTAAAAATTTCTATTGTTTTAAAAACGTTTTTGTGAAAAAATATGCAACAGCTGCTATTGCTGCTGGTGTTTATTTGTCTCTACGTGTGTATGAGGTTAATTATTGAGACAACAAATGGTTTCAAGGTTAGTTAAAGTCCATATTAAACTCAAACAGCTATTAAAGGACTTTAAACACGTTCTGTGTTCTGCGTTTCATTCAACTAACTAGGCGTGTAAATAGCTGGGAAATTTTAAATTTTTCTTTAACAAATCAAAGGAGTTTCCCTTATTATCAAAAAATATGAAGATTTCCTTTCATAATGAAACAGGAAAATTGACATTTTCTTTAAGTGCTAAAAGGGAAAAAAGTCATGTGGCGATTTCTTGTTGAAGATTTTTAAAAGATTAACAAAATCTCAAGCTATTACGAAAGGTGTGAGGAGTAATTTCTTTAAACTCCAGCTAGGAAGTAATAAATGTTTAAACATTCTTTACGGAAAAGACAGTTAAAAGTAAAACTGTTTGATATAACTAAAGAATCACACTGAGATTTTCTTAAATATATGTTTAAGGTTGACAAATTTAAAGCATTATCTCCTTGAAAGAGATATAACTTAATTGCTTGCATTTAAAATAAGAGGAACACCTAAAGAGCTCTTTAAATGTGAACAGCTTAAAGAGATGGAACTCTAATAATCCAGAACTTTATCTCAGTTCCGTTAATGTTTTAAAGAAATAGAAGTAGAATTTATCCAGAACCAGAATTGAGCAGAAATTGATCCAGAATTGGAGAGGAAGTGTTCCAGAACTAAACAAGAATTGTTCTAGAACTGAAGTAAATTTCTTCCAAGACTGAAAAAGAATTATTCCACCACCGTAGAAATAAACTAGAATTAATCTCCAATTAAAAAAAAAATTGATCTAGAACTGATGTTGAATTGTTCCAGAACTGAAGTTGAATTGTTCCAGAACTGAACGAGAATTGATCTTCTACAGCAGAATTATTTTAAAACTTAAGTAAAATTGGTCTAGAACTGAAGTAGAGTTGTTCTAGAACTGAAGTTGATTTGTTCCAGAATTGAAGAAAAATTGTTGCAGAACTGAACTAGAATTATTCGCGTACTGAACTAAAATGATAGAGAACTGAAGAAGATTAATTCCAGAACTGAACTAGAATTGTTCTAGAACTTAAGTAGAATTGTTTCTGAACTGAAGTAGAATTGTTCCAAAATTGAAGTGGAAATGTTCAAGATCTGAAATAAACTAGAATTGAACTTCTAACTACAATTGAACTTCTTCAGATTCTTCTTCAGAATTCTTTCTCCATTGAACTAAAATTTATCTAGAAATGTAGTAGAATTGTTCCAGAAGTGATCTAGAACTGAAGTAGAAATGTTCTAGATATTAAGTAGAACATTATTCCTGGAATGAACTAGAATTTATTCTAGAACTTAAGTAGAATTGCTTCTGAACTGAAGTAGAATTGTTCCAAAATTTAAGTGGAAATGTTCAAGATCTGAAATAAACTAGAATTGAACTTCTAACTACAATTGAACTTCTTCAGAATTCTTTCTCAATTGAACTAAAATTGATCTAGAAATGAAGTAGAATTGTTCCAGAATTGATCTAGAATTAAGGAAGAAATGTTCTAGATATTAAGTAGAACATTATTCCTGGAATGAACTAGAATTTATTCTAGAACTTAAGTAG